TTTTTTCTTTAGCTTGCTGTTGTATTTCTTTAATCTCTCGTTTTCTATCTATTTCTTCGTTTTCTTTTGTTATTCTAACCATGGCGGTTAAACTATCCTCTAGTTTTACAGTTTCTTTTTCTAACATTAAGTTTAGGTTATTTCCTATTTTTTTATATCTTCTTCCTAAGTTAGAAAATATTATTGTTATTTTTAATCCTTCTGGATTCTCATATGTTTTCTCTTCTAATGCGAATTCTTCTTTATTCATCTTTTATCCTTTAGATAACAAACATATTTATATTCTGTTTTAGATATTATATCGATTAATTTGGACAGCCTAGCTTTGTTTATTTTTGTGATACTTAAGTATTCATATTCTATATATAGTTTCTTTAGTTTCTTCCTAATTTTCTGCGATTTCTTAGTTATTTTGATTGTTTCACTGTTTTGCGGGTTTGTACTATTAATGTCAGTGTTATTTTTCATGATTTGCTTCTTAATATAAATGTTTATTTTTCATAGCTCTGATACCAATTTGGTTATCATGATTTGGTTTTAACGAGGCAACCAAAAGGCGTATTGTTAGATATGTGTACTCTTTTTCTTTTACTAGATTTTTTTACCATTGGGTTTTATTTTAGTTAAGGTTTTAACGAGGCACATTACTTATTGAGTAGACATTCAAGGGGGAGTGTTAAGAATAGAATTGTAATTAGAGTGAATGTCTATCTTGTAGAGAGTTTTACTTTGTGGCTAAATCATTTTTCCCCTATAAATAGAGGGGTCTTACCCCATTTTAAATCATCCCAAAATTCAACAAGAATTACTCTCTTTCTTTGTAATATTGTTCTTCTACTATTATTGTTTTATTACACCAATCCAGAATTTCGTTTCGCATGAATATGAAGATACTACTAGTCTTTACCATATAGTATATCAATTTAAAATTATTAAATATATATTTTTTAAATATTTTTTTAAATACCTATTTTATATGCAAATATAATTGTCACATATTAAAGTAATTTAATTTTGAATTTATTTAATTTGTATTCTTTAATTTATTTCAAAATAAAAAAAAATTAGCTATGTAATTATACTTGTGCAACAAAATATGACATATAAAATTAAACAATAACTATATTACGACAAACAAACAAATTTATATAAGTTTAAAGTAGGCTATACCCTAAATCCAATTACAAGGTATTCTACCAAACATGATCTATAAATCTTTTTCATGTGATTATTTTCAACTGCTTCTAGCATGATTTCCTTTCGTTTGGATAAAGGTGGTGCCTGAACTAATTTTGTGAATCATTTTTATTAATTCATCGATCTACCTTTCATTAGAAGGTATCAAGTAGCTTTGTTCACTAAAATTAAAATTAGGTCAAATGGGTAAAATCAACTAACTGTACCATTTATAGAATGCTACTGGGAATTTGACTTCTGGTTATTCAAACAATTAAAATTCTCTGCAGCAGACTGTCGAATTGCTTGCTTTCTTTAGATTCAAATCAAGTGAACTTTGATTAATGTTTAGCATGTATTATGTCATCATTTTAATATGAGAAAAATGTCAACTCATAATACTTTTCTTGCAAAGTATAAAGCTCGGTTTTAATTTACAATAATAGATTAATTAAGTCCAATTCAATTTAAAGGATTGGTTGAATTGACAATCAAGCAGTGAAAAATACTACTAACAAATTTGGATATTGGAACATAGGGAACATGGATAGGTAATTTATCGAGAAGGTGAGCAGAAACCTTTAGTCAATGAATAATAGGTAGATGGCAAAATTCTTTTATATCAGAATTAGCTGCTAAAATTTAAGCCTTCGACCAGACATCACATGCTGATTCTTCAATGCACCTAATATTGTCCTCATAAAATAGGGGAATGTTACCAAACAAAGACGAAATCAAAGGACATGGTCATATATTTGAAAAATGGAAATAGACTACTGCCCATTACGATATGGACATTGAAACTTTGTGTAAAAATTACAGAAGCAGACTCCTCCACCAAATGTTAAGGAAAAGTGTATTTATATTCTAATGTTATGTTAAAAAATAAAAGAGGAGCATTTATAATAGGAAAATAGAAGTGTAGTAAAGCATGAATATCACATAGGAAAGGTGAACGTGTTGGTGAGAAATAAAGAGAAAGAGAATCGAGAATTTAATGAGGGAGGAGGAGCCAATGGGAATCTGAGTAAAGTCTTCCCAGCTGGCAATTCTAAGCGAAACACGAGGCACTTGTAACGGTTACAACTTTCCAGCTGTTTCCCATTCACATCATCACTCCCCTCATTCATATCTGCTCTGCCTCACTTCACCTTTCTTCCCTATCCATAACTACTGTACATCTTTTTGTATTTTTATTTTAATTATGTAAGTCTCAGTTTAGAGTGGTCCCCAGTGTTCAGAAAGAAGAGAAAGGTTTGAAAAAAAAACTGAGATTGGTTCCAAGAATTAAAATGTAAACATTGTTAAACGTTGTTCATACATGAATTGTTATCCAACTTATACTTTGTTTAAAAAACACACATAAATTCTAGTATAATGTTAGCTATTGTGATAGTGCAACATTGTGTTTCTAGTGTATACACTACCTACATCAGTAAAGTAATATTGCAGAATTTGATACCGATCATTTTTCTTATTCCTCAAACCAGACAACCAAAGCAATCACTAATACGTTGTATTCTACTGATTTAAATTCCTAAAGATTGACTAAATCTTGCGCCCGATAAATGCTTAATTACTGGGAAATACCGATAATTTACATTTTCCTTTTTAGTTTTCAGCTCCAGCTCAGTAATTTCCATTTACTTGCCCCAAAAACTTGGCTTGGCAGTGAATATTCTGTTTTTGGTACATCAAATAAAGTAAAGTAAAATATTTACACGAGTAGTGCACACGCGGTTAAGTTTGTTCGGTAAACAGCCAAATGACCAATTAACCAAAAGACACGCGTGGTAAATACTTTCCAAGTAAAAAACGGTAGTTACGCACGTGGGAGAGCTCCGTCGACGGAGAATTCGCCATGAATAGAGCTATATCGAGTGAAATGAGGAGAATAATAAAGAAGAGAGAGAAACACAAAACAGCGGCTTAAAAATCGGCGAGTTTCCGGTGGAGCCGATGTTTTGGATCCTGCCTATCAATCTCTTGCAAGTTGCTTATGCTTCGGATCGGTAAAACATCGCTTTCTAACACTCTCTGTAACTCGTCATCAATATTTGCTGATTCTGCATACACATAACAAATAAGCACTCACTAGAGCAAACAAAATGCTGTGAAAACACATCGAAATCGAATTTCTGAGTGAAAGTGATAAATACTTGAGTATAATGTAACTGAATCTGAAACATAAATTGAAAAACCAATCTCCAAAACGGAGAAACAGAATGTGCATTATATATACCTATAGGCTTGGCGAAGCCTTCAAATCCATGAAATTGAGCTAAATCTGAAAAGAAGCACAAAAATCAGCAAAATAGATTAAAAAGAAGTTTCACGAGTTCGTCTTTCTCTGACTCACAGAAGTATAATGTACCTTTATCAGAAGGAATATGCGAGAAGAGATAGAGGATGAGGAAGCAGAGGAAAGTCAGAAGAGGAATGAGATGAATATACTTCTCAGCTCTGGACAATGACTTATTAAGAGATTTGATTGACTTGCGTACTTGTTCATCTTCTAAGAGTGAAGGAGAGGCGGCTTGGTCCTTCATCAGCATTATCTTCTGAGAGTCCGCCGCCACCGTGACGACGGCGGAGGAGTCGTCCCTGCCGCCGACGATGATGACTCCATGTGGGTGGAGTAACTTGGATCCCGGTGAGCCGAGAGATTGTCTATGCATGTTGAGAGAGAAACGGCGATTGAGAAAGAGTATGCTTAGAGGAGTGTTTGGTGGCTGCTTTGCTAGCTGCTCTGAGGTTGTATTTAGTCTGGGGATTTATTAGCAAATAAATACCATTAAATTTGAGATACACTTGTACCAAAAATAAAAAATAAATTATACTAAACCCCGTAACTCTTAACGACTCAGGTGCGAGAAATCTCCTTGTTACAAAGACACTTTAGTCCCCTATATTTATGAATATTCGACATTTATTTTTTCTGCGAATAGACAACACATATTAATTTGTGTAATATTTCATTATGCAAAGTACTAAATTTTTATCGTTCATATAAAACTTTAATTTACAAAACATTTTTTTTTGAAAAGGGGATTAAATATATTTTTAAACGGATTTGCCCCGAGCCAACCAGACCAGTCCAACCCGTTGAACCAGAGTTAACTTAAGCAAGACATTTAACACCCCCCCCTCCCCCCCNAAAAAAATTCAAATCCAACACTACTCAACCAGCGAGTTGAGTTAGGCAAACCCATGAGTCAAGTCAATATTCAGGTAATTGGCACGAATGGCCTCACGAGGATGACTTTAAATATTGTCCTCAATCATGAATGTATTTAAAAAATAACTTCTGGATTCCCCTATTTCTTCGGGGTTATTTTTATCGGATCGATAGTGTTTAGGTATATTTACTCTATCTATATTGTTAATTGTACACAAACTATACTCAATTGGCGTAATTTTGTTTTTGTTCATTTGTTCACCAAACTCTCATATTAACATAACTTTTTGTTATCCACAATCGACATATCTGTTAAATTATTCATCAAAGTCTACCTGATTGATACAAGTTATTTACGTGAAAATGATAATAACAATTAAATTTGATTATGGGACTCTAAAAATATGTGATCTATTTTTATGCTAGTTGTTAAGCAGTTGATGCTATGCATTTGAGACTTAGTAACAAAATGAGAGTCAAGGATAAGGTGATAATCGAACTGATAGTTTAACAGCTGGGGCCTCGAGTTGTCGATTCGGGGGCCTCGAGGTAGATTTCGGAGCTCGGCTGAGAGCTATCGAGGGGTGTCGAAGTATGACTAACAGTTATAATAAAATTAACGGAGGTTCTTTATGGCCAATAATAAACAATAAATGAAGAACAACAAGGAAGATAATAAATGAAAGCAATAATATCAAGAGAGTATGTTAGAGAGCAAATGGAATGTTCTTGTATATTTTCGTGTGGAGCAACTGAAGACCTTTACAAGATGACAAGGATCCCCTTTATATAGAAGGAGAATCTCAACATAATACAAAATACATTAATTACAAAGATAAAGGGATATGACAGCTATATGACACCCTAATCCAGGGCTAGTGTAGTCCACTAGGTTGTGTCAGTCCTAGTCGTGTACCTTGGGAACTCCCCACTCCTACCATAGTTGTGGTCGACATTATCCCAAGGTGGGGTGTTGATGAACCTCGAAGGGTAAATTCGATCGTAGACTTGAAGCCCCGAGGCTTCGAGATGATCTTCTGAGGTGCCTCGATAACGAGGAATTGGACCCTCCGATTTCACAGTACATAGATAATCTTCGCGTTTCTTAGAGTGAAAGTGATAAGAAATGACCTTGAACCTTTGTCACCTCCGATATTCTTGCGATGACGGCAGTCATAAAGTGCCAAAAGATGGTGTACACACATCCCTCGAAGGCCTCCGCATTGATTATGGCAGTTAGATGCCCCTTGGCCTCCTTCGATGTGCATGTGAGGCTTCTATAAATACTCCCTTCCTTGTTCTTCCCAACTCATTACATTTCCAAAACCCAAAAAAGGTTCCTTCTTCCTTTACCCTTGTTCTTTCCTAGGAACGCGACTCCCCTTTCTCTCCTGAAATTTTCTAGCAATGGCGAAAACTTCCGCCTCTGTTTCCCAAGAGAATGTGGCCTCATCATCTTCTCTTTTATATCAAGGCGAAGCGACAATGCCTCTTCGTGCTGAGGAATGCGTTCCAGGATCTTTCGCGATGGCTTCTGATTTCAAGGTCCAGAGGCCTTCTTCGAAGCCGGGGCGTAGTGAGCCCGTGACTCAGTATATTAGCTCGATAACAGACGTCAGAAGAGTGAAAGCTGATTGTCGCTGCGGGGACGCGGTGCTTGTGGAGATCCCTTCTTGGGAGGAGGATATTACGACATACAAAACAGGTTTTCTCAGTGTATACACTTATCCGTTTACTCTAGGTCCGGTGGGGCCATCTTCGCCCCTGATCGACCCCGTGATTCTCGACTTCTCCCAACGATGCCAAGTGACCCTTGGCCAAATTCATCCTTCATTCTGGCGTGTTGTTTACATGATCAGGTACTACGTGAACATGATTAGGGAGATGCCCTTCACCCTTGATCATCTGATCAGGATGTAAAGCTACCGTCTCTTCCGTAGAGGTCTAATCAAACTCTGCTACTAAGCCCCGAGGGCCCTCTTTGCCTACACCGAGGAGCCCGGGAATGGAGGATGGATAAGCCGTTTTGTCCGAGTAAAGACTTCTGACCTGATCCCGATGGAAAAGATGTCGTTTCCTGAGAGGTGGAATGTGGAACGTAAGTAGACACGTTATCTAGAATTCCCTCGCTTCTCTTTGAATATGTCCTTCCACACATTTAACTTTTCTTGCTAATGCAGCTATAACATTTTACCCTGGTGCGGTTCCGGACCACCCGGGTTGGGTTGGCCGCCTGGACTCGATTTTCCCGTATGCTGAGCGAGTGTGGCATAATTTATCCCAGGCCCAGTGGGAAGCTAAGGATCATGGTGAGCCTCTACCGTGCTATATTCATCCTTTTCGATTTAAATCGCTACTGGCAGAGCTCTCGTTCCCTGTGCTTACTTCTTGCATTTGTGTAGGTCTGGGGGAAGTCCCCTTGATGAAAGGAGCATTACCCGGCGGGGAGGGTTATTTGGTATCCGATGAAGGGAAGAAGAGACAAAGGGATCCGTTGGACGGGCCTTCTAAATCTAAGAAGATTAAGGTAGAAGAAGCTAAGGCCGAACCGACAGCTCTAATCCCGGAAACTACGGGAAACCCTCGAGTTGAGGGTGAGAAGGAAAATAGCTTCTCGACAATGATGGAGGAAGGGATAAACCTGGCCGATCCTGGGGCCGTAGAGATGATGGCTTCCGAGCCGTTAACTGATGTCGTTGTGGTCCCACTTCATGGTGGAGAGACAATTGAGGGAGTATCGGGTTCTACCCCCGAGCTGGTCGGTGGTCAGAGTTCCCCTCGGTCTGGGGTGCCTTCGTTAGGTGGTTTAGAGGGGCCTAGTTCTGGGGCCCTGAATGGACAAGGGATAGTCCTGACTGACCCTACTAGTGCCATGGTCGTGATTGATTCTCCTTAGGGAATGACCCTACCTTCTAAAGAAGTGCAAGATGCCCTGGACAAAGAATCTCTCGATGCGGGGATGCCTGTCAATGGTGGAGATGTGCTCGAAAGGCTTCCAACCGTTCCCGATGGAGTCCTTAAGATCGATGCTTCCCTTGTCTTTGGTGAGATGAGCAGGCTTTGCGAGCAGGTAATCTTTGCAAACCCTGCCTGTCGCTCGGGCCTCGGTTGCCTTGACCTTTGTCTCTCTAACTTGTCTTTTTTCGTGGCTTCAGGCCAAGGCGCGTTACTATCGGACTTTCACCTAGTATCAGGTCGATGTGACCCATCTCGAGTGTGAGAAGGCTCTCCTTACTGAACAAGTTATCTAGTCCCCGTTTGCCATTATCTGAATGTTTTGCCAGATCCTAGTGTTTTAACGTCTTGGATCTGATTTGTGTAGTTTGAGAAGGAAGGTGCCCTGCTGAGGGAGGAGCTTCGGGCTAGAGACTCTGAAGTCTCTGAACTCAAACGACGTGAGAGAGAGATAACTTCCGAGAGGGATGACCTCCAGGAGAAGGTGACCTTAGTTGGGGGTCAACTTAGTGAGGCGAGGGAGGATAGTAACAAGTACAAAGGTCTCCATTTTGAGTTGGTGGCTGCATTATCCAGGATCAAAACTGAGCCGAGATGCTTATATCTTTGCATGGAGAGGATGCTATTGCGACAAGTGCTCAAGCCGGAGGGGCGACCGAGGGGGCTGAGCCGAGATTGACTCGGGGCAGTGGAGCGTGCTCGATTAGGATCTCGGGGGCAGACTTTCGGGGACATACATGCGGGAGATATCATTTTTCCTGCCGAGTTCGAGAGGGTGGAGACCCTAGAGAAGAGATATGCTGCCTTGCTTGCTTACGGAGGTGAGTCGAGCAGTGGCTCAGGAGGTGATAAAAATAAAGGCTGAGCCCCCGAAGGGGAAGAGGCCGTCGAAGAGGGGCCACTAAAGGACCCATAGATATTGGGGTGCAACCTTTGGTGGAGACATCGAAGATGTAGGTTTGATGGTAGATTAGGATTTTGTTCGGTTCTCTCTTTGTAAGGGTTTTTAGGACTTGTAAACATCCCCCCTGGAGGTTATAAGAAGGCTTTTTATTTCCTATTCCTTCCTTCCTTTTTTTTTCGGAAACCCTATGTGATGATGTACTTTGACTTTCGACCCAAGGTCCCGATCTTCAGGTTAGACCCTCGGGCTTCGCTATTATCGAGCGACTTGGCTTTTATGTATCGGGCCAGCATGACCTTTGATCTTAGCACTGGTGATAGTGACTCATATGCACTGGGTCGGTTCCCCCTTTTATAGTAAGCTGGCATTTGAGCTCTTGTGCTTTTAGGCATTTTTAATAGATTGAGCTCAGTTTCCAAGTCAAATCTCGACTCGAGTTCATCTGACCCTCAAGTTTTTAGAATTTCAAGCTGGTCCTTAGGCTCTTACACGTTGGATAGGAGCGACCTTATGTGTTAGTTGGTGACTATAGCTCTTACGCCTTGGGTCGAAGCGACCTTTTATGCTGGCTGGAGACAATGGCTCTTACGCCTTGGGTCTGAGCGACCTTTTATATGGGTGGCCCTGAGGCCCATTAGGCTGGCAATAATGGCTCTTACAATTTGCTCTTAGGCATATTTAGTTAACTATTTTGGGTTTCAGTCTCCGAGTCGGGTTTCAACTCGAGCTCATTCGA